AACTGTATAGACCAGGCTGGCCTCACAGAGATACATCCATCTGCCTCTACCTCCTGAGTGCTGGGATTAAAGGTGTGTATCACTACGCCTGGCTCTGGTTTGTTTTTTTTTTTTTTTTTTTTTTTTTTAAAGAAAGGATCTTGGGGGATGGAGAAGGATCTTGGGTTAAAAGCACTGGCTGTTGTTGCAGAGGACCCAGGTTGGGTTCTCAATGCCTACATGGTGCCTATCAACCATCTCTAACTCCAGTTCTAGGGAATCTGATGTCTTCTTCTGACATCTGTAGGCATTGCATGAGACAGGTGCACTCACATACATACAGGTAAAATATATATACACATAAAATAAGAATAATTCTAAAAACTAAAGGGTCTGCCCTGTAGCCCATGCTGGGTTTGAACTCTTGATCCTCCTGCCTAAACTTTCTAAGTGCTAGGTTATAGATATATACTGTTATACCTGGTCTGACTGAGACTAATTGTCAATCAAAATGACTATCTTTTATGTGTCAGTAATGAAGGGTTAGATGAAATGAAAAATATGATACAATATAACTGGGCTTTGAAATATGATACCAAAGGCTACATGAGTGAAGGAAACTAACTGGAAGGTAATTTTTGAAAAGCTTTAGCTATTAGGTGCTTATAACATTATATGTGTACTGTTAAATCTTTTGTTATGTGTATATACACATGTAGTCCTTACTCATTTTTAAAATAGCTCTGTGAGATAGTATAACATTTTCTCTTACAGAAACTATAACCAGGCTTATTCAATTAGTGAGTAGTATAACCAGTATATTAGTGCGTAGTATAAGTAGTGTAGGTTGGGGCCTTCTGTTTGGTTTGGTCTGCTTTGTTTCATTTTGTTTTGGTGCTAGAGGGTTCAAACCCTGGACCTGTCACGTGCTGTGCATGTGCGCTGCACTAACCTCAACCCTAGATCTGATATTCTAACTTGGATTTTTCCTAACTTCTATTTGCATGCTTCACTATTATAAATGTGACTACCCTTTTTAATGTCATTTTATAAAAGGTAATCTTGGCCAGGTGTGGTGACACGTAACTACAATCCAAGTGTTCAGACATCACAGGTTTGAAGCCAGCCTGTCTTGTCCCCACTCCCAACCCCAAATAAAATTAAAATGGTATTACTGTCTCATTGGGTGCCTCTTTCTCTTTTCCATCTTTCTCTGCCACTCATCTGCCATCTTTAATAAATACTTGACCATCTACCGTGTCAGACAGTGTTCTAGGAGCCAAATGTACAGTAGTTAATGAAACACAAAAATGGGGTTTCAGTTTTAACTTAAATGATGCTTATAAAGAAATGAATCAAATGTATTAAATGGTGAGAGGTGCCACAGAGACTAGTATGAAAGAGATGTCCATAACTGGTTGTTTTCACAAGGGAGTTTGTACTTTTTTGTTTATGGAAATTGGAATTACAGACTGAAGGTTGAAAAATCAAGAGAAGGACTTCTTGGGGTAACTAGTGAAAGTAGAATTTTAAAAATATTTTGCTTATTATTTTTAGGTGTATGTATGTATGTGCACCATGTTGCGCAATGCAGAGGTCAGAAGAGGGTGTAGGATCCCCTGGAACTGGAGTTACGAATGGTTGTTAGCCGCCATGGGAATTGAGCCCGAGTCCTCTGCAAGAGCAGTCAGTGCTCTTAAGACAGAGGTGGTAAATCTAGAATATTGCCAGAGTATGTATTAAGTTCTGTGGTTCCTCTTCATTTTGGAGGACTAGGAAGGGTGCTCAGGGGCTGTCTTCACCCTGTCCCTGGAGACCAGAGAAAAGTCTTACTGTGTAGTGTTTTGTTAAACCTCATTCCTGCTGAGTGATTCAGTTACTTTCAGTTGCCAAAAAACACGGTGAAGTATCTTATAAATGAATTTTTCTATCACCTCCTCAAAGAAAATAGGATCTGAGCCACCGAAGGCTTAGTTCCACATGCTAACTATATTCTTTTTGACCCCTGAATGTTAGTGAAAGTATAATCTCTGAGATCATGGCTTTAGACAAATTTCCCAGACCTTCTGCTATTGTTGCACTATTAACTTCATATAGATTTTTTTACTATGTTTATTTATATGTTATGTGTATGAGTGTTTGGCCTCCATGTATGTTAAGTGCACCCAAGTGCATCCATGTCATGTAGTGCCTTTGGAAGCCAGAAAGATGTGTTGGATCTCCTGCAACCGGAATTACTAATGGTTATGAACTGCCATGTTGGTTGGAAACTGAACACCGGGTTCTCTTGTAAGAGCAGCCAGTTCTCTTAACTGCTTCTCCTTAACCTAATTTTAAAAGGTGAACAAAAGACTGATTGAGCATGAAAAACTAACTTAAAAACAAGTTCTGAGAAAGACTCTTCAGTACTGAGTGGGGACAAGATTCAGATTTATGACATTAAAAGCCTCACTGATAAGAGCACTGCTTTTAGACTCATAGATGCTGGGTTCAGTTTTTGTGTTTTCTTCTAATCAGTTACAGTACTTTGACTAAATTACACCATCTTGCTCAGTCTTAATTTACTTGTCTGTAATTAGCAATGTGAAGATTAAATTAAGAAACATTCACTAGCCAGGCATGATAGCACATGCCTTTAATCCCAGCACTTGGGAGGCAGAGGCAGGCGGATCTCTGAGTTCAAGGCCAGCCTGTTCTACATAGTGAGTTCAGGTCAGCTGGGACTACAGGGAGACCCTGTCTCAAAAAGACCAAAAAAAAAAAATCAGAACTTGGATGCTGTGGGAACGTCAGTAAGGGAAGCAATTCATTTGAATCAAGTAAAAATTGCAAGTGGACTGGACGACTCCTCAGAGTAGGTGGTTTGGGACAGCCTGGAGTTGATGAAAGAGACTGTGGGAAAATCTGACAAATCCAAATCCTTGAGCTTTTGAAATATATATCCCAAGCAAAGGTCTAAGTTGATTTTGTCCCATCATGTCTCATAATTTTTGCTACTGTAAATCAATGCCTATTAGTCTATATAAATTTGCACCAGATCTCTACTAATGTTTTGGAACAGTTTTGACTTCTTTTGCTATCTTACCTTTCTTATACTAGGTGATTATTCTTATACTAGGTGAGTGTTCATTGAATGGATAAATAAAAACAACAGTTTTCCTTTGGCTTTTCAGAAGATCATTTCAAAATATTTTTCAATGTTCTATGTATTTTTTTTTGAAACAGACTCTTACTATAGCCCAAGCAGGCCTCCTGAGTGTTGGAATTATGGTTGCATGCCCTTCCCCACTAAGTATTTAGATTTGGTCTTGTAAAATATAGACCCATGGTAGTCTCTAAGCAGGAGAAATAGAAGTAAAAGGCAGCAGAAAAGTTCAGAATTCTACCCTTATCTGTGCCATCAACTAGTTAAATATCCTTCCTTCTCTTGGTGTTGCAGTTTCCTTATGTTTATTAATATTGATGATATCTAAATTTTCTTCCAGGTATAATACTCAGGGATTGTGTGCTAGGTGTTTTGAGACTTGGAAGGGGAAATAGTGTTTTGGCCAGCTTCAGCTGGAGAGATTAAACATCAGATCCTTGGGTGATGAGCATAGAGACCATGGAGCTACAGCTGTTTCTTTTTTTAAATTTTTATGTGTGTATGTGTCGGGGGGTGGTATACTGTTGTGCCCATGGAGACCAGAAGATGATGTAGAATCTCTTGGAATTGAAGTTACAGGAAGTTGTGAGCCACCTGATGTGGGTGCTAGGAATTGAACTTGTGTTCTCTGCAAGAGCAAGTTCTTTGACCACTGAGCCATCTCTCCCACTCACGCAGCTATTTCTTAATGGGTTAAGACTCTCAATATAATATCAAATTATCTGTTGATGTTTTGGCATCCAAATGGAAACATTGCCACAAAGTATGTAGAATCAGGCTTTAAAAATGATATATGAGGGGCTGGAGAGATGGCTCAGCGGTTAAGAGCACTGACTGCTCTTGTAGAGGACCTGGGTTCGATTCCCAGCACCCACATGGCGGCTACGAACCATCCTTAACTCCAGTTCCAGGGGAATCTGAAGCCCTCTTCTGACCTCTGCAACATAGCACGACATGGGTGCACTCAAATACATGTAGGCAATACACTCATACACATAAAATAAAAATAATAAAATATTTAAAAAATGGTACATGAGCCGGGTGTGGTGGCACACGCCTTTAATCCCAGGACTCGGGAGGCAGAGGCAGGTGGATCTCTGTGAGTTTGAGGCCAGCCTGGCCTCCATTAGCGAATCCAGGCCAACTGCAGCTACAGGAAGACCTTGTCTCAAAAAGACCAAAAAAGAAAAGATATATGAATTTAAGTTTTATTCTAAGAGTCAATAAATAATCAAGTGCCTTTATGTGATGCATCTTAATTTTTTTTTCTGGGAGTTTTGTATATGAAATCCATTTGTTGTATATTGTTAACATTGAGTTGAGTTTTAAGAAATTAGGGTGTGGGAAAATTGAGTTTTTAATGGACAATAATTCCAAACTCTGGAATTTCTGGTTTCCCTGCCTTGAGTTTATCTCCCTTAGGTGTTAATATGCAATTTTATATGCTAAACCATCATAGTATCTTAAATTTCAGTATTGATAATGTAGGAAATAGTTTTATTCTCACAATAACCAAGCATTTTGGTCTCATGTATATATAAAACATTACAAATTGAAGGCTAGAATGTCATTTAGTACTTCATACTTTTAGAAGCCAAAAGTAGACAAGAGTTGTAGTATATGCCAAAGGTATCACTGTAGGTAGGCAAGGTTACTATGAAGGGAGTGTTTTATTTATTTATTTATTTGGAATCTGAAATATCTTAGCCTTGCATAGCACAAAATTCACTTACCAGAATGACAAGCCTAAATCATAGTCAGTGTCCTTGGAAATATTTCAGAAGCACTTTTAAAGTTTTTCCATAGTTTTGTAACAATTAGAGGATAACTATCTCATACATTATATATGAATATCTTTATGGTTTTTGTTTTTCAGGCATTAAAAAATATTTAACCATTCATGAGTTGAGCCTCATTCTTGAGTTATGGATGACAAGGCTTCTGTTGGAAAAATCAGTGTCTCCTCAGACTCAGTATCTACTCTTAATAGCGAAGATTTTGTCTTGGTTTCCAGGCAAGGAGATGAGACACCATCTACAAATAATGGAAGTGATGATGAGAAAACAGGACTCAAGGTAAATCTTCATGGCCTAAGTCTACTTTGCTTAATCTTGCTCAGCCCACAGCTTAAATTTAACAGGGGAGGGATGATAACATGGAATTACTTTTTTTTTTCTTTTTTTTTTTTTTTCGTCTTTTTGAGACATGATCTCCCTTGTAGCCCCAGCTGTCCTGGAACTAACTTTGTAGACCAGGCTGACCTTGAACTCACAGAGATCTGCCCGCCTCTGCCTCTCAAGTGCTGGGACTAAAGGCGTGCGCCACCACACCCAGCTGACATGGAATGACTTTTTAGTAGTGTTAAGTACATACATTAAGTATATACACTTAGTGAGAGATTGATTTTTAAGGATTTTTACTCTGACCAGTGTCTCTTAAATTTTCTAAAACTCTTCTAGTATAGACATTTGTGTTTTTGTATTGTTCTATCTTTCTTAGTCCATCAGAAGTGTTTGTTTCTTTCAGGCCTGGTATATGTAGTGTAAGGACACTGGCCAGTCAGCAGTGCCATTCATTAAAAAAAATAACATTTATGATTACAAAGAGCTTAAAGACTTGTTTAACTTTTCTGAGCCAAATAAATAACCATTACTTCTTTTGCCACACTCCATTATTCTCCTACTCTTAATGATATTGATGAAAACACATAAGTAATTTCAATATTCCAATTTCTGTGTACATCTATTCATTCAACAGATACTTATTGAATAACACTTGGCCAAATACTGGGAATATGGTGGTGATGTGAAGCTTTCATTCTAACGGGAGAAAAAAACTAAACAAATGAGAAAATAAATAAATGCGTTCAGTAAAGGGCTGGAGATGTAGCTTAGTTGGTAGAGTGCTTGTCTAGCCTGCAAAAATCTCCAGCATCACATAAAACTAGGTATGGTGGCCTGTGCCTGTAATCTCAGCACTTGGGAGGTAACAGCAGGAGTACCGGTAAAAGGTTAAAGTTACCTTTTGCTATGCAGTGAGTTTGAGGTCAGCCTGCACAACATGAGGCCTAGTCTCAAAACACTTTTTAAATTTAAAAGTAAATATGTTGCGGGGGAGGGGGCAAAAAAAAAGTAAATATGTTAAGAAAAATAAAGACTGTTTGGGTTAAGAATGGTTGACTTTGTTTCTTGGCTGTTACAAATCTTTGTCAACTTTTAAAATTTTTGTATTTATATATGTGTGTATGGTTTTACACATGCCATGGCATACCGTGGTGATCAGTGGGCTTGGAAAAGTCGGTTCTCTCTTTCTACCATATGGATCCTGGAGATCAAACTCAGATTGTCAGTTTTGGTGGCAAGCCCTTTTACTTGCTGAACCATTTTACTGGCCCTTAAAAATATTCTTAATATGACTTGTAAATGTGTAAGAGAATAAGTAAAAACCAGTAAAAATAAATGGGGCTAGAGAGAGCTCTGCTGCCAACAACTGTCCTTAACTCCAGTTCCAGAGAAATTCAACACCCTCTTCAGCCATCCACAGGCTGCGCCTACATACATGTAGGCAAAACACTCACACACATGAAAGAAGAAAGTAATTTTTTTTAAAATAGTGTCTTTTACTATTTTGAAGAGGTATTAAGAGTCGTGGGTATGTAGAACTCTGTCCTAGCATGTACAGGGCATTGTGTTCAATCCCCAGGACTACAGAAAAAAAAAATCAAAAATAAGAGAAGCCCTGAATGGCAGTACACTCCTTTAATCCCAGTACTGGGAGGCAGAGGCAGGTGGATCTCTGTTAGATCCAGTTAGGTGTAGTCTACATGGCAAGTTCTAGGTCAGCTGAGGCAACAGGGACACCCTATCCCCAAAAATTAAGAGAGAGAGAAGGAGAAGGGAAAGGGGCGGGGGAAAGGAAGTTTGATATCAAATCTGAATAAAATGAAGAAGGAAACCATGGAGAAGACCGGGGAAGATCTTTCCTAAGAGAGCAGCAGATACAAAGACCCTGAGAACCCTCGATCAGGTTCGAGCAGAGTGAGCAAGGAATGAAATCTGACGATGGGGAAGGGCCGCAGTATATTTGAAACTGCTGGAGCTTAGTAGAAAATTTGGACTTTGTTCCAAACATAAAGGAAATTTTTGAAAGTTTTGACTGGGGAAATGATCTAATTTGCATGTTCATAGGCGTGCTGGCTCAGAGGTGCTTCCAGCATGACAGCAAAGTCTCTGAAAATATTTGAAAAGGAATACAGCAAATGAAAAAAGCCTTAATTCAAGAAAAATGCATGAAAATTTAGTAAGATCAAGAAGCTGTGTCATTTTACACTTTCCCATTTTCTTCTTCATCTCTCACCTGACTGAGATAATTGCATTTCAGATTGTCGTGATTAAGATGAGGTCAGGCTGGCCAGATAGCTCACCACATAAAAGCACTTGCTGTGCACATCTGATGACCTGAATTCAGTCCTTGCATCCCGTAGTGGAAGGAGAGAACTGAACTGATTCCCACAAGTTGTTTAACCTCTACATGTGTAGCATGGCACACATATGCCCTCCCTGACACATCACACATTTTCTGGGTAGGAGCAGTACTAAACATTTCTCATGCAATTTCCTGCTGCTTATTACTAGCCCTGTATGTCTAAGATGCAGGTTCCATCTTTCCTGCTAATTCCTTTTCTGAGAATTGTGGCTCTACTTTGGGTAACAGCAACTAAATTGAGGGTGTCACCCAGTGAGAAGGCCATAGACTGATGTGTGCCATTGTCTCCTAGCTCCAGAGATGACTCAGATTTTTGCCTATAAGGAAAACCATAAAACAGCTTTTTTTTTTAAGTTTTTTTAAAATATTTTCTTTATTATTTTTATGTGTATGAATGTAATGCCTGCATGTGTGTGAGTGCACCGGTGTCATGCAATTCCATGGAGGTCAGAAGAGGGCTTCAGATTCCCCTGGAACTGGAGTTAAGGACGGTTTGAAGCCACATGTCGGTGCTGGGACTTGAGCCCGGGTCCTCTGTAAGAGCAGTCAGTGCTCTCAACCACTGAGCCGTCACTCCAGCCCCAGGTTTTATTTGTTTTATGTGTAGATGTGAGTACCTGTGTGTGTGTGTACAGTGTGTATGCACTTGAGGACATCAGGTGTCCTGTCGCTCTCCATCTTACTCCTTTGAGACAAAACCTCTCACTGAACTTGGGGCTCACCCTTTTTCTGCTAGTCTGGCAAGTCAACAAATGCTAGTGATCCTCTTGTCTCCCTATACCCTAGTACTGGGGTCACAGAAGCGTGGTCATGCCTGACTTTTTCACATTGGGTGCTGGGGATCCAAACTCAAGTCTCCATGTTTATGCAGCAGCCATTCTTACCCACTGAGCTATCTCCCCAGCCATTTTTTTATTTTGTCGTCTTTTTTGTTTTCCTGGAGCTGAGGACAGAACCCAGGGCCTTGTGCTTGCTAGGCAAGCATTCTACCTCTGAGCTAAATCCCTACCACCAGCACCCCCAGCCATTTTTTTTTTTAAGTACTTAGGGGGCTGGAGAGATGGCTCAGCGGTTAAGAACATTTACTATTCTTCCAGAGGACCCGGGATCAATTCTCAGCACCCACATGGTGGCTAACAACTATTCATAACTCCAGTTCCAGTGAATCTTGCACCCTTTTCTGGCTTCTGCAGGCTTTGCACAACACAAGTGCACTTACATACATGTAGGCAGAATGTGAGTACACATAAAAATAATAAAATATTAAAAAAAAATTTTTTAGACTGGGTGTTGCTATGCAGCCCAGTTTGGCCTCAGCCTCCTGAATGATACTATAGGCTTGTACAACCACAGGAGTTTCTTTTTGCTTTTTTATTGGTGTGTTCATTGAAGTACCAATTATGATTTCTTTCAAGAACTTTTGTATTCACAGTTTGGCTAACTGTTTAACCCGAGAAGTCTAACTTTTGGTCTTTCTATATTTGACATACCTTCTTTGTAAAACTTAACCCTTTTTGGCTTTTGACTTGAAGTGAGAGTTTGCCTTGATTTCTCTTGAATACCTGGAGAATATTGGAGGATTGGTAATTTGAGTCATTTCAGTATTGTATCACAGGAAAAGGGAGACCAAAGGAGAGGGGAGACAAACAATTGGTAGGAGATTAATCAGAATACAAACTCTTAATAGGCCTAGTTCATCACACCCCAAAACAATTATAATAGCAACATTGAAACCACTGATAAATCAGATATAATAGCATTGTTAATAACAACAAAGTGAGTTACTACAAGAATTGCCAAGATGTGACACAGAGGCCTGAGGTGAGCAGGTAAAAAAACACCTGCATAGACTTGCTCCACCAGGGATGCCACAAAAACCCAAAGTACAGTAAAACAGCACAATAAAATAATATAGTCTTGTATTCAAAACTGAAGGTTAAATGAAGATATTTTGAGATAAATAGAAACTGAGAAAATTTATTGACAGAAGACCTGCCTTACAAGAAATGCAAAGGGTGGGGCTGGAGAGATGGTTCAGCAGTTAAGAGCACTGGCTGCTCTTGCAGAGGACCTGTGTTCAATTCCCAGCACCCACATGATGGCTAACAACCATCAGTAACTCCATTTCCAGGGGAATCCGACACCATCTTCTGACCTCTGCAGGCATTGCGTGACACAGATGCACTTACATATGTGCAGACAATACACTCATACACATAAAATTTTAAAAAATAATAAATTATTATATATTTTTCTTTTTTGGTCTTTTTGAGTCAGGGTTTTCCTGTAGCCTCCAGCTGGTCTGGAACTTGCTATGTAGATGAGGATGGCCTCATACCCACAGAGATCCACCTGCCTCTGCCTCTCAAGTGCTGGAATTAAAGGTGTGCTCTGCCATGACTGGCAATAACTTATGGGTAAGGAAAATAAATTATTTATAAACAAAGAAATACAAAGGGTAGCTCTTCAGGCTAAAAACAAGTAACCATCAAGAAGTTGTATTAAGGTTTTCTAGAGGAAAATAACTAACCAATTGAATATATATATATATATATATATATACACACACACACACACACACACACACATA